TTCCCTGTACGAAACCCTCAAGTTAACAATATTTGCTCAAAACACAAACACACAGACGATGCAACAGCACTGGTGAAGGGGCACGCCTGTATAAATCTAACGTTGCTACATTGCATGGCTCGGCGAGTATGACCATATAACTGCAAGCAGACAGTACAATCTTGCGTTTTTGTCAGCATTGACCTTTCGTCCGACCTAGCGGGGTGAATAATTTGTCCTGCAAGATATAACTTGAAAGAAGTTGAGACCTACCCTTTCTGGGACTATCGGCTGTTTTTTCGCGAGCCTCAATCATCCTTAGTTTGGAAGTGGCAGGGGTTGCATCGATCCCTCGTATCCGTTGCGATGCAAAACAACGAGAAGATGGGCGAGGGATCAACAAACTTGCCGTCTCGCCATCAACATCTGTTTCAATCGTTCAACCAATCAAAAGCCGCACGCAATGTGGCAAGGAAACGAAAACAGCGCGCTTGCCTCGGTTGCACTGCAGATGGAGTTCGTCCAAACAAGCTGCAAAGTGTGCAGCCGTACATAGGCACGTGCTGCCGGGTCCTGTCCGCCGACCTTGAGACTTGCATGCAACCATCGACGACATGCAGCGGTGACCATCGTAAGACTCAGTTCCCTGATCCGAACGCCATTAGGCCCGAGAAAACAGGCCAGACAAAGATGTACCGCAACATGACTCTGATGTTAGCGTTCCCTGGTTACATAATAAACCAGGCCGCATTGCATAACATTAGTTTCACCGTGTCCTTCGCGCGAATTGGCCCGCTATTTTCTTTTTTGAAGGACGAGGTGGAGCCCCAATAATTGTTGTCAATTTGAGCAAACTAGCGTACCCACAATTACCCTCCGTGAGATTGTAATAACACTGATATTCGTAGCATTTTTATGTAGGAAACGATAGAAACATGCATCCATATTCCTAAGCATTACTCATTTTTTATGGATATCCAATATTGTACCATGTAAATATAATCGCACATCAGTGCCGCATAAACCAACGCATGCTAGCTCGAATGCTAATCGCAAGGCTAGCAAAGAAAATAACACATCACGCTAATACGTGATGCTATGTTGTGAGCCCCAACGAACGGACCGTTGTAGCGATAAACCGCACCGCCCCGTCACACATAACCATAAACAGCTGTGTCACTGTCGTCTCGGCTGTTGGCTTCTGTGCCAATGCCAGTGGCGAGTCGTTCCGCAATGGTTTTATGGACTGGCTTTGAGCCGCGCCGGCAGTCGCCCGTCATCGCCCGTGCCGTGCCTTGACCCAGTCGCAGCGGGCTCGCTCGGCTGCCCCAAGCGCCCCCCCCCCCTCCGGCCCCTGGGGTGAGGAGCCGTGGGGCGGGGGGGGGGGGGGCGGGGACGGGAGCCGGTTTGTCGCGGCGCCAGGTGACAGCGGGCCGTCGGACCGCATTGCGCCCCGATGTGGCCGCAGTCGCAGTGGGGCGGGGCGGTGGCATGCACTATCGAGGGTTGGTGCGGCGCAGTTTCAGAACTTACGGAACCTCTGGCCTTCGAGCCCAGGAGGATGGCAGACCAGCGGCGTTACGTTACAGCTGGACCAGTTGGGTTGCGCCTTTTACCTGGTGTGATGCTGACAAAAGTTTGCTTTGAGTGTGGTTGTTGCGGCAGCGCTTTACGCTCGTTGACTCGCACTGGTATGCTGGGCCCACGGCCGTCCTACTCGTCTAGGCTCTGCCTCAATGACATATGACTGTGCCCGCCGTCATGTCTCAGTGAACATCGTGACAGGAGAAGCCGATGTCGAAAGCATACTTTCAGAGTAATGTGTGCACAAAGCCTCGCAAACTGCGCCGTCAAGCATGCGCTCCGCCAGAGCGGTAGACAAACAAGGCCCACACTTTCCGTCAGTTTAACATTACAGATATGGCGTTACATTAAAAATCACGCATTTCGATGCGTCATAACTTCAGCCCGGGGTGGCGCGCGGGCGCGGTATGATGAAATCGCTCCAAATGTCCAACTTCCGTGACGCTAACCATGCCTACGCTACAGCGAACTGGTGACAAACACGCATTTCACTAGAAACCTCCCGTTTTTTTTTTAAGTGCAGAGTTAAGTCATGACGTGGGCCATCTGGCGGTGTTTGCCTCAATAGCGCAGCACATTTATCAACAATTCGTATGATCTAATAGCCGACACCGCCACTTCAAAATAACGCGTGCCTGTAGCGGGGAGTGTAACTGAGCCGGAGCCACTCATGTTCCCAATACACACCCGTTATGTTTAAGTATATAGCTGCTATCTCCGGAATTCCGATTTCTAGGGTTCTAGTATTCATCCTCTCCAGGACCCAATATTCCCTTGTTTCTTAGAATTGCCGCTAATTGTCGGCTCTGCACACCTGGAGCCTGCCGGATTCCTTGCCTTGTACAAGATGCTAAGCTGCAAGGTTGTTGCAAAACGACCTTGTGGACGTAAAACGGGATTATTTCCATTTGTTAGGCTTAAGTTACCGTGGATAGTTATGTATCTTGACACATCAAACATAATGCCGGGTAAGAGATTGCAAAAACTTGTCATTGCTTTGTGTTGGCCTCTCGCACCAGCCCATATTTTTCCCCCACGTGCGGTTGTCGCGCGCACCGTGCGGAAACATACTCCCGTTGTGTCTGGGCAAGATGACGGTTTAAGCCTGAGAGCACAATTATTGCAAGGTTTAGGCAGCCCTAGGTAATGCTAAAACTGCCAAATACGCAGTCAAAAAGCCTAAAATACGTGCACTCCGGGACAAGAAATTGCTTTTCATGCCGGGCTACCTTACTGCGAAGCAAGGCAAATTTAAACTGGCTGGTTGTTCTCTTTTTTATTCTGCATTCATTCTGGGCGATTTTATCGTTAAAGATCACCCATTCAGCGGTTAGTCGAATACGTATGACATTCTGGGAACAGGGAGAAGGCTAACTTTGGTGGCGGTTTGATAGCACGAAAGCAGTCTGGAATGGAATTTAATGTGAGCCCTACGAACGGATATCAGTGGCTGGAAAAACTCCACGCGGTTTCTATAACAGTGCTGTAAAACTAACAGTCCAACAACGCTATCATACAAAAAGGAATGATGCTCCCCATGATTTCAGCCACAAAAGGAAACAACTGATGGCCAAATCACCACCCCAATGCAGTAAACACTGGCATGTAAAACGCGTAGGAGCACATAGAAAACGTCCGTCCAAAAATGTTTTGGACACATTTCAAAAGTAGATGAAAATTGCTAATTACCGAAACCTCATTTCTTTTAAATCGCGCGTTCATTTGCCACGCCTTAAACTGTCTCCAACAGACCGTGTCCCCAGACATATTCATCTCCCTGCTGTTAATACTGCTCGCCACATTCAGATGATGTCAATGAGGATGCGAGCACATAAATAATGACATTTAGCAACCAATCACTTTTTAACGTGGCCCAGTACTTTTCGTGTCCTGGCCGGCATCGTACCATATAACCTACTTTGTTTTAAAGGAAACGTTTAACGTCTGAAGGTATTGAAGCACGCATGAGATAAGACGAAACAAGCTCACTCATAACCATTGGTATGCTTTTTAAATGGAAAAGACTGCGCTAGACAGCACACTTTTTTGTTAATTTGTTTCTCAAGCGTCATGGTTTGATTACGTCATCGTACCTTGCGCAACATTAAGAGCCAATTGGCGGCCGTTGTATTCGGAAATCGTGGTCATGAACGCCAGATACGAACCCCCCGACAATTGCATTTTTCTTGGCCTTAATCGCAGCATGACATATGAAATGGCAGAAGCTGGATGACGTTATTATGACGACAAGAATGCTAAGGCAACTTTGAAATATTCTCCCCGATACACCTTTCCCCATTACCGGCAGGATTGTGAACAGCAACGAAATGTCGTCAGAACGGCTATTTCAGTTCAAAACCCATATAATTGTGGTGTGACAATAGCGCTTGCAAAACACGGCCTGCGTCGTCTTACATAATATACTGGTGTATTACAGCTGATTGCATGACGAAGAAAATGTTTGCTCCGGTGCATAGCGCGAAGCGACTTAAATTCGGACTAAGTACCCAAAGCATTCGCGCTTTCCCAAGAGCCGTATGATATCCAGACACCCCTGCATTTCGTGTCATTGACAAGCAGCCGCGATGCGTCGGGTTTGAATGCGAGTGAGATTCGATGGCGTCGCTGACGAGATAGCCTCTGGAGCCGTTGACATGGGAAAGTGGGGAGGAGGCACAGCGCCGGGGACCCCGGTCCCCATTTCACCAATCGCGAGAACATGAGCGTAACACAAACTACGTGGAAAGAATTGGCTGGAAACGAAAACAGGCTCACCTATTTTTCGGGATGCACGTACGCCCAAGGCTGAACAAGCGACATCGAATGGACCAGACATGTATAGGCATATCTAATGCATGTGTATGTATGGACGATAAAATAGGCATAAAACAAAAGGAGGTAGCGTTTAAGATATTAAATATGCGTGGGCTGGAGCGCCCGAATGCGTGTGCCAGACGGCGCGCAAGAAAAGGTGGTAGTCGTGTGTGGACCGACGTGTGTGGATCGCGACCGATGCGCCCATGTCGCGCACCATGCCAGATGGACATATTTGTCCGTGTGTGACACCCACACGGGTCGCACGCTATCTTCCGCACCACCTGACGTGCGATCATTTGGGTCCCTTCAGCTGTGTGGTTATCAGTCCATCACGTGCGTCCATTGCTTAGTTCGGACGATCTCCAACACGTACTATCTCCAGTGGTCCGTGCGAGAGACATTCGTACACGAGGGGAGGTAACGGCGTACTCTGAGGTCAGTATTCCCTTCTCTGATGCAACTGCAAATGCGCGGACACCGCCGCCGTGACAATGTCGTTCCGCCAATGACTCGCAAGCTCTGAGGCACATCCATTAACAGTGCAAGAAAGCTTGGCACGTGCGCCCACTGACATCCCTGGCTGACGCCGACCGCGTGGACGGCCGCGGCTGGACTCTCACCTGACCGTCATGACGGGCGTGGTGATTGCGTGCCTCCTGTGAACACCCGCCGGGCTGACTGAGGCCGGGGCGCCACGCTGGGTCTTTATAGCTCCGGCTAGAGGTGCGCACGGCAGGTACTGTATCCAGTGTCGAGCACCTGCGCAAGGCTCAGCATGTTGGGTGAGTTCACCGAGTGATTTCTTTACATCGCGAGCAGTTGCGTGACGTCATTGGGAGTCACTCAGTCGTCTGTCCACGACGGGCACCAAAAAGGCAACCGAGATCTCAGCTGACACATGGTTTGTGCATTAGGGTGCGTCATCAGTGACAAAGTCATATGAGACAAAGAAATTCTTTGGCGCAGGAGTCCAAAAGCACACGGCAGGGCAAAAGTTTTTGCCAAAAACTTAAATTCGTGAGGCGCGAGTCGATATAAATGCCGTAAATCGACGCTCGGCGTTGTAGTCACCTCATGCTGGACGGCGTCCGCTGCCGCAGGTAACACCAAGCCGTGGGCGGCAAGCGACACAAAATACCTTTGCGTATAGAAACGATGCTGCCGAGCGCTCGTTATGCTGTCCAACGAGAATGTCCCGGTCTAAGGTATAACATGCGGGTCAGACATTGCCCGATTAATTGTTATTTAGTGGAAACTTTATGCGCTGTTGAGTATGAGCTCGTTGTACGAGTATGCTGGTTATCATTGATTTAGACTTTCACTGCTCTAAGACAACTCACGTGATGCAAACACAACTATGTATAGCATATGACTCAGAATATATTGTTTGGTGTGCAACTTAAAACATACAGTAAGTTCTGCAGCCTGTACCACGGACGTAGAAAGGGAGGGGGAGGTAGGGTGACCCCATGCACATCTTGCTAGTTGCCGAGCCTGTGTATCGGATGCACCGGCCCAAGCAGCTATTGCTCAGACTGGAAACCCAAAAAGCGTGTTGGCAGGGATCGCACGGTAGCAGAAATACCTTCGCAGCTGGGCTCCGTATCTTGCCGAAGCTCCAGCTCCAGCTGAAGACGCCATCGGCAGTGCGGCGCTGCGTCGTACTCCTAGTGTGAGCCAGATAGGGCAAGGTGGCCAGCGGTGCCTGCACTTTGTTCCGCAGCTCGCGGTCGGTGAGGTCTCGCAGTGGAGGCTGTGTGGCTGGTCCGTGCCAGGGAATTATTTCGGTGTACCTCACGGCCCCGAAGTTTACCGCTGAGATGGCGAAGACCCAGGGCTGAAGAAGACCCTCGGTTTGCTGCTCACGTGCGGCGCGACGATGGGAACCACCTGTTCGCAGACCATGCGGTTCTCATCCCACACCATGCCCAGCAGCAGCTGTTCCGGACGGATCCAGTATCCGTTACGCCTGAGGATTGGCTGCACCGTGGTCTATGTGTGCTGCGGCAGGTCGCGGAACAGCGCGATGCTCCGGAACAAGTTGCGTAAGCTAAAGTAGCAGCCACTGTTTTGCCGGATGGCGAACCATACCGACACATAGTGGCCGACCACGCACTGGACGAGGTCCTTGAGAGAGCCGCTGCAGGTCTCGGTAGAGATGTAAACTGGGAGCAGACGAGCGGCCAGTGCCAACCATCTGAAAACAAAAGCGAATATATTAGAACAATTCGCTGCAAACTTATCGTTAGATCATACAAAAATTATTGCGCCTGTTTAGTGTACGCAATTATGCTGATATCCAGAATCCTTAAATGTGACGGAATACATATCAACGAATATGTTAGTAAGCATGAACCAACCATAAAATGATGCGACATAGTACGGCACAAGGTATAATAATAAGTGAATGCTCAGCAGTGAGCACACGAAATATCAAATAATACTTGATGAACTTTAAACACTCCTTGGTATAAATTCGAAGATAATGCCTTTTTATCTTACCTGATATGGTTCGATGGTGCGATTCGCCGCTGGGCTGCCACATTTCGGACAGAGCCATTTTGAACACCGGATGCCAGAAGGTACATCAGCTGCTGGTTGGTGCTCAGCTGCTGAATCAGGTCGACCGGCAGGTTTGGCACATGCCCCGAACTAGGCTTGAATGCCACAACGTCCCTCTCCCAGACCTCCCCGGCACAGGCCTAGCCCATGAGTCCAGAAAAAAATTTCGATCCCGTGGTCGTGCCGTCCAAGTTCGGCAGCAGATGGTGGAGGCTCAGCTCGTTGCCGTGCAGCTGGCAGATGAACCAGTGCACGGGTGACTCGGTGGCCAGCTCAAACAACCGGAACACGTCGCCTATCGTTTCGGTGTTGACGGCTCTGCCATCGCAGCCGAGCGCATTGATGTGACCGTCGCACTGCGGGCTCACGGAGTGAAGCTCGTTGAACAAGTACAGGGCGCGGCCGAACTTGAACGTGAAATGAGTGACGTAGCGACTGCCTGGCTCAGTAATGACAACCACGTGTTTTTCGACGGCACTCGTCTGGCTCCGTGTGGCTCATGTAGCTTCTGCCTTCGTGTCCGTGGGAGTAGAGGATGGTCAAACCTGACTCGCGGATTGCTTCAAAGTTTTAACGAGCCGTCTCCTTTCTTGCTCTGTCTCTTGCGCAGCAGGTCTTCGTAGGATCTACGATATTTGATTTCAAGTAGCCAGTCGGTTTTTGCTGTCTTCTTGAAAGGCGTTGATGATGGCAGCAGCGGCCCGGTTTGAGCCAAAGTAGCTGCCAACCGCCAGAGCGGTGTTATTCAGATCGTTGATGTAATGTACAGTGACATTGGTCTCAACCGGAACGAACACCCGGCGTCGTTGCCACCTTCTACCATGTACGGAACCGTGTAAAAATCCGTGCTCTCGGCTGACTCGCCAGCGCTGAGACCACTTGGTCCCGGAGCAGACTCGGGGTCAGCACTAGCAGCCAGCGCTGTCTCAGCAGGCGGCTTGGTTCAGCAGTCGGCGGGGAGGGTGATTCAGGTTCAGCAGTAGACACCGCCTCACTGGCGGCCGAGCGACGTCGCCCCTGGTCGCGACGTCGCCATCTCGCGAACCTCTCTAGCCACAATCGCATCCTGGTCATGTGACCCCAGGGTAAGCTTCCGGTGCCTACACTTGTTCGTCATGACAACCTCCTCCTGATGCACTGCGCAGGCAACTGGGCATGGAAAGCTGCACTGAGGCTTGCACTTGCATTTCGCGACATCAAGAAGCTTGTCCAATTTCGCGGTGGCGGCGTTGCTGTGTCACTCTCTTTCTTTCTTTGATCGCTTGCTGATAGCTCTGTTGGATGATATCAATCCCTCTCGATCAATTTTGCCACGTAATTTAGTTTATGAACAGGAATCGCTTCCCTGGTCCACAGTGCCCTGATTTCTACCGTCGCGGTCTTGAATATGGTAGTGAGATTCCTCTTCGATTTGCTCAGCCACCTGATGTAGCTCAATAGTTTTCCGCAGTCCACAGTTGGTGCTGGGACAGTAGAGCCGGGTGGCCTATCACAAGTTGTTTTGTGCGCGACCGTGTAGCCTTCGGCATGCTTATGCAAGTAACTGTTCGAAAGAAATGTTCAAGTACTAGCGAAAGCTAACTAATAAAGCCATATATCCACGCAGAAGCACATGAATTGCAAATCAGCATCACAAATATGCGTTAGCATTAACAAACTTAGACCTATCCCGGTCGGCTGGAGCATTCTCATAACTGCAAAGCTTTAGGTTTTACCAAAAATTAATGATCTTTACTAAAAAGTCAGCTTAAAAGCTGTTTGGCAATGTTTTGCTGCTGCTCTTCATGATGTCTATTTCATACTTAATCCACTAAGTACCAGTAGTGTGGAATGTGGCAGCTTTGAGGCGTGTTGGAGGATGATCCCAGTGCGCAAAATAGGTGGCGCTAGCATCGAATAGGGCTTTCCCGCCCATCAAAGAAAAACTGCTCCCGCCTCACGAAAATCGACATTAGTACGGCGCGACAGACCCGAAAGTTTATCATTAATCCCTGTGCCAAGGAAAAACTTTGTCTCAGCTGATTCCAAGAGATTCACCCCCTCGATGACGCACACTAGTGTGCATATTACGCCCGGATCTTTACAAATGTAGTCTCGTGCCGCTACTGCAAACGAATCGTACATTCAGCGTCATCACGGACGTCACTGTCATCAGCACATGCGCCCGCTGGGCAGGCGCATCAGATAGTTAGACCGCCTGCTGACGCCCATCACCTCCCCCCCCCCCGCCCGGTCGGTCTCACAGACCTGTCTTGATGTCCTGCACGAAGACGTGCTGTGCGGCACAGAGGGCCTGAGTGAGCCGGCACTGGCGCTCGGCTGTGGCCGAACTGGAACACAACATCTGCGCGGACGGGCGGCCATCCGCGCGTGAAGTTGCACAGCTCCAGTTATGACTGCTCTAGGCGCTATGGCGGGTCCGGTGATCGAGGGGTGGCTTACGAGCTCCAGGGGACCTCGTTGCCGTCTTCTCCTTATGCAAGTAGCGACAGACGCAGATGGCGCTCATCGGAAGGGCTGGGTGACGCATTCTTCTTCCGCAGTGGCATTCCCAGGTGCCAGACTCTCCTCCAGTAACCGCTGACCCAACAGGCAGACGGTGACAGACCCGGGTAGCACACAGCGGAAGACCCTGGCGCAGCACTCCTTCTCCATTGCAGATATCGGAGGACCCGGGTGCCCCACTCTCATCTAGCAGCGGCAGACTCAGGTGAGCAGCACCGGCAGATCACGCTACACTTTCCTCCTCCAGCGTCCTCAGGCCCGGGTGCTGCACTCTCCTCCTCCGGCAGCAGCGGCAAATCACAATACACTTTCCTCCTCCAGCGTCCACAGGCCCGGGTGCTGCACTCTCCTCTCCCAGCAGCAGCGGCAGATCACGCTGCACTTTCCTCCTCCAGCGTCCACAGGCCCGGATGCTGCACTCTCCTCCTCCAGCGACAGCGAACCCGGGTGGTCAACAGCGGCAGATCAGGCCGCCGCACCCTCTTCTAGCAGCCACAGACCCGGAGCCGCACCCGGGCACTGCACCTTCTTCCTCCAGCAGCCACAGACCAGGAACCGCACCCGGGCGCTGCACCTTACTCCTCCAGCAGCGGCAGACC